ACAAAAAGTTAATGAGTTGATTCTTAGTGTTTATATCTACAAGTTTCATGACTTTATAAATCTCCCACACATGTAAGATATAATTTCAGTGATTCTAAACACGTGTGTGTATTTAAGGATGCGGAGGGGATATATCAGAAATATCTAGAAGGAACCCAGGTCTTTAACAATTTGGGGAAGCTCGCCAACCAGCCTTGAAATGCTTGCTTTTTGTCTTCTTTCATCTTCTTTAAAAAAAATGTAAAGGTAAATATTGAATGGATATAAATATTATTTATAATATATTTGCACTATAAAGAATAACAGTAAAAGGAACCATGTAACTGCAACCCATTTAGGAACAAAAAGACGTAATTTTCATCATCAGACAAGATGAGAGAAGACCCAAGCTCAGCTTCCAGGCTGCCAGGCAGCTCGGCAAAGTTGTGGGTCCGGCTTCTTCCGCTTGACTTGCTCTTCCATCGTCTTGGGCCGTGGCTGCCGCTTCACGGTCCCCGGTGTATCTGAGGTATAGCCATCAGGAGGGCGTGCAGTCTGGCTGTGAGGAGGAAGGGAAGGTGTGCCTCCCACCTTTAGGGATTCAAGAAGGTCGCTTACAGCTCTGTTTCCATCACGTTGACCAGAAACCAGTCTTACAGCCTCAACTAGCTGCAAGAATCTGAAGAGCGTGGTGTGTGTTTGGGTTGTCCAAGTTCCTCCATAAACACTGGAGGTTCTTTATTAGCGAAGAAGGACAGAAACGTCTGTTAAGAGACAACTAGCAACCTATACAATGAGTAATTCAGATATTTTAGACATAGATGCATCATGAGTTCTAGGTGTTGCAAGTGTCTTCCTCCATATCAGAGCTTGTCATTTTACTTTCTTTATAATGTCTTTAGAGAAACATACTATTAAATTTAATGGAGTTGAATTTAACATTTTCCATTGCCATTTTATTCATAGTCTAAGAAATCGCCCATATCCCAATTTCATAAAAAGTATATTAGTATAAAATAATCTAACATTTTTATAGCTTTGCCTTTCACATTCATGTCTTTGATCCACATGGGACTTATTTGTGAATGGTGTGAAGTGGAGATGGTAAGTCTCTGCTTTTCCTATGCGGTTATCTCAGCACCATTCACAGAAGAGTAATTCTTTTCTTAATTGATTTGCAATGCTAGTTCTGTCGTGGGCCAGGTTTCCATACGTGTTTTGGTCTATTATTGGGAATCCACTTTGTTGAGTTATCTATTTATCTATGTCTACACTAATATCACACCTTTTTAAATTATAATAGTTTTATAATAAGTGTTGATCTCGTTTAATTCAGGTTTTCTCACATTTTGTTCCTCAGAAGAATCTTGGCCCTTTTTGTTCCCTCACTGTTCTACGTATGTTTTGGAGTCATCATTTTAAGATTCATAACACAAAACAAAACAAAACAAAAACAGAAGAAGTAAGAATTCTGACTAAAAGTGTATTGAATCTACAGAATATTTTGGATAGATTTGACATCTTTATGATATTGAGTTGTCTAATCCATAAACACTTGTCTCTCTGGGATTTAAAATAATGATGTAATATCTTGCAATAGAATGTCACAATTTTTTAAATGAAAGTTCTGCATTTTTGTTACTTTTATTCCTGAGGACTTTATATTTTTGTTGCTGTTAATAAATGATAGTTTTGAAAAGCTATATATGCTAAATCTCTGTTGTTGACAGCAATGCAAGTGACTTTTTAGTAGAGGGAGAAACAAAATAAATATTATTCAGAAAAATATGATTTTCTATTTAAAAAACCCTAAGAATATACAGCTGAATTATTATAAATGATAACAGATTTTAACAAATTGATTAATAAAAAACCAATTATTGACATTATGTTTGTGGAATTGTTGGATGTTGATGTTATTTTGGGTTATATGTGTAAGCTTATTGGTAAGGATGTTTATATTGTTTCCAGCTTAGTTATCACCAATAATGTCGTGATGAAGTTTATTGTACATGTCTCTTGTGCACATGTGCATTTATTTCTATTGATCATATACCCAGAAGTAGAATAAACACAGCCCATAAACACATGGGCTGTGTTTATTTTCATCTCTAGTAGAAGATGCTAAAGTGCTTTCAAATATCATCCTACCTCCTGCACACACCAGCCACGAACATGAGGAATGCCCTGTACACCACATTACACCACACCCTCACCAAAACTTAGTATTGTCAGCCTTTTTCGTTGTACCCATGGTGGGGGTGGCGATATTGCATTGTGGTTTTAATATGCATTTTCCTGATTCTTGGGGAGGGTCTACAACTTATCTTTACTGCTATTTGGGTATTTTCTATGCTGTAACTGTGCAGGTCCCTGGTCTGTTTTTCTTTTGGTTTATCTGCCTTAAAAATAATTTGTATAGGAGCCAGCCCCGTGGCACAGCGGTTAAGTGTGCATGTTCCACTGCTGGTGGCCTGGGTTTGGATCCCGGGCACACAGAGACGCACCACTTGTCAGGCCATGCTGTGGTGGCATCCCATATAAAGTGGAGGCAGATGGGCACAGATGTTAGCCCAGGGCCAGTCATCCTCAGCAAAAAGAGGAGGATTGGCATGGATGTTAGCTCAGGCTCATCTTCCTCACACACACACAAAAATAATAATAATAATTTGTATAATTAAAATTTAAAAATATATATTCAGGATATGAGTCCTTCATCAGTTGTAAATTTATCTACCCCCACTCTGAGGCATTACTTTCATCTATCACATTCTTTCCAATCCCACTTTCTTTGTATTTATTTTTAAATTTTTTTATTGAGGTAACATTGGTTTATGATGTTGTATAGGTTTCAAATGTACAACATTATAATGCAACATCTGTATATACTACAGCGTGCTTACCACTAAAAGTGTAGTTTCCATCCATCACCATATAATTGACCCCCTATACCCCTTTCACCCTCCCCCTACCTTCTTCCTCTGTGGTAACCCAATCTGTTGTCTGTTTCTATGAGTTGGTTTTTGGTTTTTGTGTGTTTGTTTTATTTTTTGTCTTCCACATATGAGTGAAATCATAAAATTTTTGTTTCTCCATGTGACTCATTTCACTTAGCATAATACTCTCAAGGTCTATCCACATTGTCACAAGCGGGAAGATTTCATTTTTTTATGGCTGAGTAGTATTCCATTGTATATATATACACCATAATTTCTTCATCCATTCGTCCGTTGATGGGCACTTAGGTTGTTTTCATACCTTGGCTATTGCAAACAATGCTGCAATGAACATAGTGGTGCATATATCTTTTTGAATTAGTGTTTCTGTATTCTTCGGATAAATACCCAGGAGTAGAATAGCTAAATTATATGGCAGTTCTATTGTTAATGTTTTGGGGCATCTCCATATTGTTTTCCATAGTGGCCACACCCATTTACATTCCCACCAACCCACCTTCTTTAAATGGGTAGATTAAACCATTGCAAGAGATATGAGACCTGCGGCTTTTTTCTCCTTCAGTACATTATTTTATATTCCTGAATCATAACACACAAATCTCACCGTAGAATCCCAGTTTATATTTTGCATGTAAGCACTCCATTTTCTAGCAGGGAAAATCTTTTTATTTATTGACACATTTGAGCTCTTTCATGAAACAGACTTTGCCTAACAGTTGAGTATATGAAACCAAATACATTCCCTCAATCCAGCATGCTGATAGCTACCTCTGTATCTTAGCAGTGTCTTTTTCTCTTTCTAGGATACCTAGAAAGAGAGCCTGCGTCCAAACTTATTACTAACAGAGTATTAGAGGAAGGGGTTGCAATTATAGGCAACAAATTGAGGGGGAAAATTAGAAAATGAAGGCAGAAAGGAAAGTCATTTATCTACTTGCTTCTTCCTGTTTCCTGTATCTGATTGATCCAAGTTTATCTCATGGCATTTAACACCCCTCTACATATGAATTATTTTACCCAGGCTCTCTGGGCAGCTCCTGGGGAATCTAGACCCCCCCTTCAGTGATGTGGCATTTCTTTTGAATGTGGAAGTAGTGGGTGGAGCCAGAAGTTCCATGGATCCAGGCAGGTCAGACCCTGTCCCTAAAAGTGCGGTTATGGGTGTTCTACCGAAGCTGGCCCATCCCCCACAGAAGGCACACAGGTGTTCCCATCAGGAAGTGAGGCAGCATCAGAGGCAGCAGCCAGGGCTCTCCACTGGGCAAGTGGCCTAGGCCAAGGGGCAGATGGGGCCAGGTGAGTGTGGGGATGTGCTTAGCTGGATTATGTACACCTTTTATGCGCCTGTCTATGACAGCTGCCCTTCATAATAGTCATCTGATGCAGGCAACGAGCCACAGTGAAAACACAGGAAAGAAAGACAAAAAGAGATCACTTCAGTGGGTCTGACACCTGTGGTTTGACTAAATCGTTTGGTTGCATATCAAAGGGAAATCTCTCAAAAGGCGGGATTTCAAAATGGTTTGTTTTTTCTGCGTTACCTTGATTCTTGCTGCCTGTTCCTGCAATTGCTATTTCATTTTCCAGGTGTGATGGAGCCTGCGTTTTCCTGCATATCAGGATACTTTGTGACCATTCTTCTCTTACAGATGATAGTCCTCGCCTCAGGTAGGGATATGTATTTCTTTTTCATAGTGTGTCCCATCTATAAAGAAAGATAATGGAGGTAACGACACTGAAGGAAATGAGGAAGCTTTGTCACTGTTTTCAGATTCCACCCTTTCTGTTCTAGTTTTGAGGATAGATTAAGAAATGTTATTTCAGTTACTGTGTCTTTCTCAGCCCCAACTCCCTGCCACAGTGCTGCAGTGACGTGCCGAGGAGAAGAGAGAAACGTCTACATTTCCCCTTGGGGAGCTCAGATTCTCACAGATCAGAATGAATATATCCCTTATATTTAAGAACAAACCATGATCATCTGTGTATCGATATGAATTATAAGTTTAGTAGGACCTCAGGTAAAGAAGTTGATGTGAGCTGGGGCTGTCCACAAATTTTTCTTAGAGCAGTGGGCCTTAAGTCTGATAACTCAGATTCCTTATGGTTAGAGGGATAAACATTGTTGGCAGAGACAGGAATAAATTTGGCATAGTTGAAAGGAGTGTCGGGGGAAGAGGGAGAATCCCCCTCTGCCCTTTTCTTTAAGGTTCTTCTGGCTGGCCAAATAATCAACAAGACAGGTTAGCAGGAGAAAATAATACCGAGTTTAATAACATGTATACATGGGAGAAGCTCAGAAATGAGCAACTCGTCCCTCTGTCTAAGCTGCTTGCTTAAGTATTGCAGCTAAAGGCGAAGGAACGTGTTGGTGGTGGGTAGTGGCCTGGGACTTCAGAGGGCAGAAGGACAATTCTTTTCAGGGTCATCTATTGATAATTTGGTCAGGGAGAGATAGAGTTTTTTGATAAAAGGGGTTTGGTGCCCCTCCCATTGCAACATCTATTTTACATTATCTTTATAGCCATCATGATAGAAGATCTGTTCCAGGAATGAGCCACCATGCCAGATTCTCTAGGCAGTTAGTGGGGGAGGTCAAATATCCTTATTGTCTTCAGCTTGAAATAATCCTCATACCAGAGTGGTGCTTCCTGGGGCAGCTTGCCCTGAGCACCATCAGGAGCAAAAACTAAGAGTGTGTGTGAGAGTCGTCTATAGCTTTATAACAAATTGTCCCCAAAACGAGTTATTTAAAACAACAACTATTTTATCATATCTTGCAGTTTTTCGGGTCAGAAATTCTGTCCAATGCTTAACTGGGTGATTCTTCTGTTCCATGTGACATAGACCATGTCACTTGTCACCTGGTATATTCAGCTGGTGGGTGAGTGGGATGGTCTGAAGGGCCCAAGGTGGCTTCACTCACATGTCTGGCACTTTGGTGGAGTAGGATGGAAGGCGGGGATCAGCTGGGATTGCCAAATGGCATGTCAACATGTGGCCTTTCTGCCGTGGTGGTCTCAGGTAGTCAGACTTTGTATGTGGTAGCCTGGGGCTTCCAGAAAAGCTATTACCAAAAAAAAAACAAAGCTCCTCATTTCTTAAAGCAGTCCCAGATATGATTGCAGCTTGTCTTTTGCCATATTTAACTGAGCAAAGCAATGTCAGAACACACGGTTTCAAAAGGAGGGAACATAGACCCTTTCTCTTCATGGAAGGAGCATCAAAAAACTTGTGGCCATCTTTAATCCATCAAAACCGGATACTGAAGAGAGCAGCTGGGGTATTTGAGGAGTAAAGGCTGTTGTGCAGCAATAGTGATCCGTGTCCCACCTCTCGACAATGGGAGTATCCTCCATTCCCTCACTAAATGTTGATGGGGCGCCTGCTAGATTCAGGCAGTGTTTTATGCACTGGGAATAATAAAGAGAATGAAAAGAAGAGAATAAAACAGAGACTCTGTTGTCACATGTCTGACATATTCGTGGACCACGAGAGAAAATAATGACAGGAATTAAAAATATCAGGTAGTGATATGTGCTATGAAGACATGTTTACATATGACTGGAGGGTGGTCATAAAAAATATTTCTAAGGAGTTAACGTTTAAGCTGGGACCTGAGAGATACGAAGGAGGCCACGTTGGGAGGGTCTGAGGGGAAAACGCTCAGGTCAAAGTGAAGATGTCTCTGAGGGCAAAGTTCAAAGTCAGAAAGGACTTAGCATCAAAGTCCAGAAAGAAGGCCAACATGTCCAGAGCAGAGGGATCTCGGCAAAGCATTCCTCTGTGGCCTTCAGACTAAATCCTTGGTCTCCCACTTCTTCCACAGAGCAGTTCCCGAGAGCAGCTCCAGGAGCCACCAGGAGGTCCTGGGGGGTGGACAGGCAGCTCAGCTGCCAGCTTTCCCCCAATGGAGTGCAGAGCACATGGACGTGGGCTGGTTTCAGGATCACTACTCCCAACTGGTTTACCTGTATGAGGATGGGGAAGAACTCTCTGGAAAAAGCACTCACAACTACATATGATTGGCACAGTGTTCCTGAAGGAAGCCCTGGGAGAGGCCAAACCACCTCAAAATCCACAATATCAATGCTTTTGATGGTGGGCAGTACCACTGTTTCTTTTAAGATGGTGACACCTACGAAGAGGACATCACGGATATAAGGGTGGCAGTAAGGACAGAGGAGAGTCATCTGCATGTCTCCTTGCTAATGCTACTCTGGACCCATGGCCCCGAATTCATGAATGCTGGGCCATGAGGAAATGATCTCAGGGCATTTTAAAAAATTTGTTAAATTTTGGGCCGGCCCGGTGGCGCAAGTGGTTGGGTGCGCGCGCTACACTGCAACAGCCGGGGGTTCGCTGATTCAGATCCTGGGCGCCCACTGACGCACTGCTTGGCAAGCCATGCTGTGATGGCGTCCCATATACAATGGAGGAAGATGGGCACGGATGTTAGCCCAGGGCCAGTCTTCCTTAGCAAAAAACGAAGAGGATTGGCAGATGTTAGCACAGGGCTGATCTCCTCACACACAAAAAAAACAAAAAAAAAAACAAAAAAAACACCACACTTTTATGATGACTTTTGTTGTACAGATCTAATTTTGATATTATCAAATTTACAGTCTGCCAATCATGATTTATAATTTGTGTTACATTTAAGAAATTCTTTCCTATCCTTATCTTATAAAGATATGTTCTCTTAAATTTTTAAAATTGTTTTTCACATTTGGTTCATGATCTATATGGATTTTACTTTTGTGTATGTTATGTGCATGTAATATGTATTTAATGACCATTCCCAACAATTGTAAGGACTTCTGTCATCTACCCAGCCCCTACCCCTGCATGGGTCGTTTTATGAGTTTTTAATTTGATTTGCTTTTGTGTCACCAAGATCTAATTATCTACATAGTAAATATTATCTATAATATATATATTATATCTATATAATAGAGTATACCTATACCTGAGATGATACTGCTTTACTTAAGTTACTACAGCTGTGTGCCTTGATACATGAAAGGGCATATCTTCCAATCTCGCTCTCCTTCTTCAAAACTGCCTTGACCTTTTCTGTATGAATTGTAATTACAAAATTAAATCCTCTTTGGAATTATGATTGAAATTTAATTGAATTTATAGACTAGTTTAGAGATATTTGCCATGTTCCTTTACTGAATCATTATATCAATGAACATTTACTCAAGCATCTTTATTTATTTTCAATTTTATTTCAGTTAAATTTGGTATGTTTACCCATAAAGATCTTGCACCTCTTTTGCCAAATTTCATTAGTCAATTTTCTGGATTATGAATGAGATGTTATTGTTACAAATTTTCATAATTATGTCTGTGATGTGGGAATGTTACTGATTTATTTTTTGTTTTTTATTTTTTGTTTTCTCTACATGTTATTTACTTTTTGAATAAAAATCTCCTCAAAATTTAAAATTTAATAGTTTAAAGGCTGCACTGTGAAAAGTCTCCCTTACACTCCCATCCCATAGCCATGAAATTCACCTCTTACAGGCAATGAATGTGACTGGTTTCTTATGTACCATTTTCTGAGATATTTTATGTATATTACACATAAACATATATATGTACATGCACATACATACAATTATACAGGTATATATCTGTATATAAATATTTATATATATCCATATCTTCTTTTTGAATAAATGCTAAATACACTATATAGCCAGCCCTGGTGGTCTAGTGGATAAGATTCACTGCTCTCACAGCTGCGGCCCGGGTTCATTTCCTAGCCAGGGAACCACACCCCCCGTCTGTCGGTTGTCATACTGTGGCAGCTGTGTGTTCCTGTGATGCTGAAAGCTATGCCACTGGTATTTCAAATACCAGCAGGGTCACCCATGGTGGGCAGGTTTCAGCAGAACATCCAGACTAGGAAGAAGGACCTGGCCACCCACTTCCCGAGAAAATTGGCCATGAAAACCCTACGAATAGCAGCAGAGCATCGTCTGATATAGCGCCAGAAGGTGAGAAGATGGAGCAAACAACCAGGCAGGATTCCGCTCTGTTGTACACGTGGTCACTAGGAGTCGGAATCGACTGGACAGCACTAACAACAAAAATAGTGTGTGCATTGTTTTGCAAATTGCTTTTCTTTTACTTAATAACATGAACTAAAAGAAATTTCATATCAGTATATGGATTTTTTTTCTATTCCTTCTATGGTTGCAAAATTGTCCATTGTATGGATGGTTCAGAAATTGTTTTACCTATATCCTACTAAAGAACATGTAGGTTGCTTTCAAGTTTTTGGTGCTCAAGCAATGTTCTGAGTAATAATTTAAGTAAATCACTACACATGTAATTTCACACATGTACAAGTGTGTGTCAATGTATGAAAATCTTAGCATCAGTTTGTCAAATCACACACACATTCATATCCTTTGGGCTTTTAATTAGACTTCATTGAATCTATAGAAGAATTTGTAGAGAACTGATATCTCTTTCTGCACCTAGTACAGGTTATGCTCCTGCTTCAGTACGAACCCTACAGGATCCTGATCCACAGCATCACTTTCTCTGGTGAGGTTTCTGCATTGGCAGGTGCCAAACTCCTTTAATGAAGAGCTCCCTTCACCTCTACAAGCCTCCGAGCTGCTCATTATTTTCGAATTGCCTCTGGGACATCAGCCTAGGTCTCCGGGGAGAAAAGTCAAGAACTCGCTTATACCCACTTGGACATGGGGTGAGGTTACTGCACCAGGATCTTCACCCTTTTGAGCCTCTGGGTTCCAACCCTTTCTCTTTCACTCCCAGAAGTTCTCTGAAACAAACGCAGGGTCATCCGCTGCCCCCCCCCCGAAAAGCAAACGTCCAGGGGCAGAAATGGCTAAACCCTCCCTGAATTCCAGTCTTTTCCCAGCTCGGGTCCTGTAATTGCTCTTTGTCTTGTGAGACCTCTGAGCTTTTTGTGTTTCGTCCAGCTTTGGGTTGTCTTCAGCAGGAAGATCGGTTCAAATTACCTCGTCATCATTACTGGCAATTCAAACTCTAAACACATCATATCTATTTTTAAAAATTGTGTTTAGTGATTATTTGTATACTTATCTACTCCCCAAAAGAACTTTATTTGGTTCCTTTGCTCAAAAAGTGATGATGCAAATTTCAAAATAGCCAATGTAGAGATGGAGATACCCAGTGGAATTTGGTTCTCGTTTGGATATTTTTAAAATTATTTTTCTTTTTGTGTTAAGCTTTACTTTACATACAGCAGAGTGCACAAATCTTAAATGTACAGCTCAGGGAATTTTTACGTATACAGACAGTCATGTACTCATCCTTCAGATCAAGATATTGAATATTTCCAGGACCCCAGAAGATTCCATCTTGCCCCTTCCTAGTCAATTCTACTCTCCTCCTACAGGGGTAACCAGTAATCTAACTTCTATCACCATAGATTAGTTTTGCCTCTTCTAGAACTTGATATAAGTGAAATCATACATTCATATATATGACTGCTCACAATTATTCATTTATGTTGTTGTGAATAGCAAAAATTTTCTCTTTTGCATTTCTTTGTAGTATTCTATGCTGTGACTGAATATTTGGGTTACTTTCAGTTTGGGGCTATTATGAATAATACTGGTAGACATTAGAACTCATTTCTCTTGTGTATATAACTAGAAGGGAAATTGCTGTGTCATAAGCATAAGTATATGCTGAACTTTAGTAGATACCAACAATCTTCCAAAGAGGTTAAACCAATTTACAGTCCTGGAGCCAGCCGTAACGGAGGGTTCTGCATCCCCTCCATTCTCTCCAGTCCCTCGTGATGTCAGGCCCGTCCTGTGCATTTTAAACATCCTGGTCGGGTAAAGTGGTATCTCACTGAGGTTTTAATTTGCATTTCCCTGAAAGCTGGTGATGTTGAGCATCTTTGCATATTCTCATTGCTTATCTGGGTATTTTTTTTAATCAGATACCACTTCAGATCTTTTGCTACTTTTAAAAATCAAGTTTGTCTGTCTTATTGATTTATAGTATTTTTTAGAATATATTTTGGACTCAACTCCTTTCTCAGATCTTCTCCTAATCTGTAGCTTGCTTTTTCATTCTCTACATGTTGTTTTTTTATGAATAGCAATTATTAACTTCCATAAAGTCTAGTTTATCAATCTTTTCTTCTCTGGTTAATACCATTGGTGTCCTGCTAGCGTGGATTTGGATTGGATATTATCCTTGTTCTATTTGTGACCATCCCTATTAAACTTACTGCATATACAGCAGGCCACAGAGAATGAGAGGGAATATTTACTTCTCAATTCTTGGGTCCATGCCAATAATTATAATGTCATTTCTCTCTCCTCCTTCAGCTCTAGGCCTGGATATACAGACGAATGTTCAGGCTCCCGACACGAAAGGGCTCATGGTAGAACGGAACTCAGGAGGGTGTTCCCATGAGTCTAGACATAGCAGAGAGACAGCAGGGGAATGTAATTCCACACTCCTCAAAATCCTGCTCTTGGGATGGAGCTGGATCCTTGCACCTGAAGATAAATGTTCTTCTCAAAAACAGCACCCACGGTCCTATCGTTTTCTGCTTTTATAACCCAGTCACTGGTCAAGAGAAAAGGGCAGGTATTGTCCTACCAGGTGAGCACTTGTGGCTTGGTTCTATCAAGGAAGAACTGTTTTCATCAGTGTGACAAACTAAAGATAAAATTAAGTGAAATAAAAAATTTGAAATTGATCTATAAACTATGAAATGCTATAGATGTAATATTTAAACCTTATTAAGTTTCTTGGAACAAGGAAAACATCAGATGCTAAGGGGGATATTTTAAAAAATGGAAGGTGTTACAATAATTGAGAAAGACCCCTTATTCTGTTTAGCATGTTAGGGCTTCCAAAGTTACATGTCATTTGAGTGCTAGATCCACTATTTCTAGCATTGTGAACATGAGTGTCACTTAACCTTCAAGACGTTCATTTTTCTCATTTGGAAATGATAACATAGATGGTATTTTGAATTTGAAATGAAATGTTACAGGTGAAATGGCTTTACAAGACATAAAACAATATGCAGATTTAAGATTGATTTAGAAATTATGGATGTCACAAGTAGACTTTATTACTGCCTTATGAAGAAATAGACATGTAGAGAAGTCAGTTACTAAAGATCCAGTAACCAACAAGTGGTTAATCCAGGATTAGATCCCAGTCCTGGGCCACGATCCAAGGCTATTTTTCTCTGGCAATGGGGGGTGTGGTGTGATCAGAGAGGTTAGAGGCAAACACTGTCCGGGCCGGCCCAGTGGCACAAGCGGTTAAGTATGCGCACTTCGCTGCGGCGGCCTGGGGTTCGCCGGTTCGGATCCCGGGCATGCACCGACACATTGCTGGTCGAGCCATGCTGTGGCGGCATCCCATATAAAGTGGAGGAAGATGGGCATGGATGTTAGCCCAGAGCCAGTCTTCCTCAGCAAAAAGAGGGGGATTGGCAGATGTTAGCTCAGGGCTGGTCTTCCTCACAAAAAAAAAAAAAAAAAAAGAGGCAAACACTGTCAAATTGTGCCCTTTGTGCTTCAGCCATGACTTGGTGCAGTCCCCAAAGAAATCAAGGTGGATGGAAAGGGCAGGAGGTAGGAGGAAAGGGGCATTTTAATTAGGATAACGGCTCGACTGTCATCCAAAAAGACTCCGCATAACAGTAGTTCAAACACAATAGAAACAGTCAGACTGTTTACGTGGCTGTATTTCTTGAAGTAATTCTATACTCAGGTTCTTTCTACCTCACTGCTCTGCCATCTCTAGGGCTCTAGTCTTCCTCTGCCTGGTTAGAGCTGACTTTCATCATTATAATTTCATCCCAACTTTTGGGGTGTGGAAAGGGAGGGAGCAGAAGGCAAGCTATTTCCTTTCACATCTGGAAGTTGCATATATCACTCCATTTCTATTCCACTGGCACCAAATTGATTGCCACAGCTAACTGTGAGGGAGGCTGATACATAGAGTCTTTCCCTTGGTGACCCTGTGCCCATTTACTAGGAAGGATTGTGGGCCATCAATCACCTGAAAGACCTGGAAAACCTGTTGATCAAGCAAAACTAAGTTTATTAGACCTAATGCAGTAGGGACAGCATCATCTTGACAAAGTATTAATAGTATCCTAAAATGGGGAAGTTAGAGGAGGATATTTATAGACTTTTAGGGCCTCTACTGGGTGATTTTAAAGTAGGTCTTGCAAAGTGAGAATCTGGCTAGAATTTGCACAGTTTATAAATACAACAGCTTTGGATTAAGGAGCATAGTAAAATGAAGGTCTTAAGGTAATTCTTGATGAGCCAGTCATTAGTCCTGTTGAGTAAGCTATTTTAGTTGATTCACAGTCTTATCTCCCAGGATGAGTATTTCCTGGAGCCAGTAGGCAAGTTATTGTTGTTTGCTTTCAGTTGTTTAGTACAGAGACAGGAAAGTATGCCTAGCACCAAAATCGTTTACTGCAAGGACAGGAAATTGATTGGTCCCGGTATTGCTTAACATAGGGACAGGGGATTATTTTGGTTTCATTTCCCAAGGGATACCATTAGTAAAAAGAAGAAGAGGACGTTCCCTGGGGGACATCATCAGGGTCTACCAGAGGGCCTTTGGATGTGATCTCAGATTAATTTTGCCCTATTGTTGGAGTATTCCCGAATAGAAGAAGGTAACTGTTGAACTAGATCCAGTTCACAAAGGCTTAGTATTGGGGAACTACAGAATATCCTTTCTCCTCACAGTCATGGAAGAATAATTAGGAGACTGATATAATAAATCCCGGAAGCCCTTTTCTTCTGTTCGTCAAAACCCCACCTTAGGCACTTGGGTCCCTTTGTAACGCAAAATTGACTCCTTAATCAACTCACAATCTCAATCTTCTGTTTCACTTCATGGGAGTTTTACTTCTGGGTTTCCTTTCAATCCTACTTTTCTATTCTGAGGGATTCAGGTCTCCTGGACTGGCAACCTAACCAGTGTTGTTGAAGCTGAAGTGTAAATGCAGAACCTTGGAGCCCAGGCCCTTTTCTTGTTGATTTTTTTATTTGAAGGGAAGACTTTCACAAAAGGAAAAAGCAAACTCTACTGGGGATAGCCAAGTAGGGGAGCTGCCTTGACAATGGAGCTGTTATTTTTACGTGTTATTTTTTTGTTGTTCCTAGAATCCATGTGTCCCTCAAGTTCCAGTAGTTTGGTGCTAACCTACTGGGTTAGCCTGCTATACTTCAAACCGTTTTTTAATTTCAGTACATTAAGATATTTATTTTGTGTTCTATATATGAAAATGACACTATATGGAGGTATTGCCTGTGTGAGTCTGTGGCTTATTTGTTTTTTTGTTTCTCTGTCTGTCTCCAAGCTCACCTTCTTCATTTCCTGGGAACCAATGTTTGTCTCTTTTCACAATATCTCATATACGGGCTTTTTAAACCCCACTCTCCAGGTCACCAGCAATTGGTAGTAATGACGGGACAAATGTTGGCATTGCCCTTTTCCTATTTTCTGAACTGTGAGGAGTTTGAAGAGTTCCACGCTTCATCACCACTCAGAAATTCATTACTTTTTTAAAAAAATATTTTGATCAGGATATTAGGTGTTTTCTCCTGGGAGAATTTTTCTGTCACATTAGTCCCAACCTACAGGGAATTTAAACAATGAATGTCAGAAGACTTTCTTGTTTTTATTTCTGGAATTTCAGAGCACTTACATTTTCTTTAAACTGCCTAAAATTTCACCAGGGGCACTTCTGATCCAGTCCCACAGCCATTGGCTTCCCCATGTCCCACTATACCGTGGTGCCCAGGGCTCTGTGCTGTAATTTTTTCATCTCATAAATTTGTCCCTTAGAATGTAAGTAAAGAAGCAGGAAGCTATTCCTCCATCCAGTTCTGTTCCTTGGCCCAATAACTCCCAAATCCGTTCTTTCCTCTAGTCTGGCTTCATTGGCCAGTAGCCCTCACCAGGGCCCAGAGGACATAGTACAGACTGTAATGGGGCCTTAGGTGGGCATCCTGATTCCATGCCCAGTGGAGTCTCCTGATGCTGCTGCCCTACTTATCCAGTCTTTCTGCTCCCTCTTTCAGTATCCTGTTCAAATCGGTATGTATGCTGATGATGTCATATAAGCGTTCATGCCCCCTGATACATTGATCATTGTGCATGCTCTTCTGTGTTTCAGAATGAAAGGTATTTCATGCAGGAGAGGTAGAGAGCTCTGAAGCATCTCTTCTCTACCTGATCAAGTGCTTAGAGAAGGTTCATACAAAATCGTGTAAGCCTGCATCTCAGTCCATCCCACTGCTGTATTTGCCAAAGGTCTCAATGTCTTGAGTTATGCCATCCTCCCCCCTTACGTGGTTCTCCAGGGCTAAGGCACTGCTGCCGCTGTAGCGTCTATCACCACTAAGATATCCCGATCCTTATTTCCCATCACTTGGGCCATTTTCTGGAATCTCAGTAATAATAATTCTGTCCTCTTCCACAGGCAGCCATGGATCTTTAGACTTATCACTCAAATTGTTCAGAATATCTTACCTTAATAACAAGAGAAGGAGAAAAATATGTGAACCAATAACCAAATTCTTGGTCCTCCTGATCTCCTCTCAGCTCTCCTTTTGCTCTTCCTGTGAAATTAACCTGAACTCTTTCTGCCCCATTAGAGGTAGGAAATGGAGCCTTAATTTCAGGGAACTGAAAACAGAGGGCAGAGAAGGTATCAGATACATTCAAGAATGACTTCTTAAATACTTGACCTTAGGAACTTCAGCCCATGCAAGATGAGTAACAAAAGTGACAGGTTATGACATTAGCTATTTTAGATTTCCTGAGAAAGGAGCTGTCATACATTCTAGGCTGTTCTAGGTGGAGGAAGAGATGGACTGGAAGACTTTGGGAGATTATTTAATCGACAGTGACATGTACACAATTCACAAGACAAGGTGCCTTGTGAGCGCTATCATGAAAATGAGACTTATCTATGATTCAGGAAGCATAGGGCTAGACAAGAACATAGAATTCAACTTGCCCAGCCCTCTACCCAGTTCATAAAGACCTCTA